TGGCTGAGTTGGCAGTGTCCTGCCATTGGATGAAGTCCTGGTCCAGGTCTGGTCTAATCCTTAGCGCTAGGGCTGGGTTGTGCGTTGCGTCTAGCTGGATTACCTACATCGCTACATCGCTGCATCACGTGCTGGATCACGCGCTGGAGTGGAGTGCTCGCGCCTCTGTTCACACTGGTGGGTTGTCTTCACGACGCTATTTTCGCGACTTGCTGCGGCCGTGTCTGCGGTAATCTGGTGCAAGATGAGCCTGGGTGACGTTGTAGACTTAGCCATTCTCACTTTCGAGGAACTGCGAGGTTTAGCTCGGCGGCATAGCATTGATGGCCTGGACAGTATGGCTCGCGCGGAGGTGGTCGGGAAACTTCGCGAGGCTGGTGTGGGTGTTTTACACCCATGAGCTGCTGGAGTCGTTGAACGCTTGGGTGAGATGATGCGGATTGTCGTTAGCATCAGTGACGAGTTGGCAGCGCTGAGAGACGACCAGCGGCGGCAGATCACGGCTGCAGAGGAGAAGGGTATCCCCTTACTAGAGGTTGAAGCGATTGTAAAGCGGGAACTGGCATCTCTCTCGGACAGAGTAGGAGACTTGGAGAGGGCCAGCGGCGGGAAACAGCACAAGCATGCCCGGCCGCAGATGACTGCTCCCCTGGCGAGCTATTCGAAGATTGAAAGAGCACAAAGAGACCTACATGCCACATCCCGAGGTGAAGGATCAGTGCTTGAAGACGTTGCTAGGAATGAACCCAAGGACTTGTATTCACAGGCCATATCTAGAGACACTGCCCCAATTGACCTTCCAATGGACATATCGGTTGACCAGGCGCCGTTCGAGGATGTCATGTCCAGGAAGGAGCGTCAACGCTTCAAGAGGCGGCTAGCATCAGAACCTTCCGGGACGGAGAAGGCTACAAGTCCTGCGGAACGGCAGACTGACAGTCGCAAAGCGCAGACAAATCCCATCCGCCGCCACGAGTCTTCACGTTACATCCGGGAACGTACGTCCGATAGCAACCCGACACCTTCGTTAGACACCGTCCCCAGAGGCCCGCGGAAAGTTCTCTACCTGGGGCAAATCCCGTATGGTTGCCAGGCACAGTCCATCGCTGAATGGTGCAGAGATCGGGACGTGGAGATAGTGCAATGTATTATATACTCTTCTGAATACTTCAGAACGGCCTCCGCGAGAATAACAGTTGACGCTCAGGACGTGAACAAAGTTAGTGAAAAGTCTTTCTGGCCTGAAACAGTTGCATACACTCTTCGTGACTGGCGCTTCAGGTCCGACCAAGCAGAGGCGCAATGAATACCTCGATACTGAATGCGCAGGCTCCAACTTTCTTTCCGGGTAGATTGCGCCATCCGAAAGCACCTTTCAGAGACAGGGGAGGACTGAGTGGTGATGCTAAGCTGAAAGTTCTACTGATAAACATCAGGAGCCTTCGAAACAAGATTAATGACCTAGCACAACTCACCCGCCAGCATTGTCCTGATGTTGTCTGTGTGAACGAGACATGGCTGGATAGTACAATTACTGATGGAGAAATCACGTTGGCAGGTTACAATAATTTGCGTGCTGATCGAGAGGATCAGGTTGGTGGAGGTGTCTGCTTATATTCCCGAACATCCTTGCCTCTCAAGCCGAGATGCGATATAGCTGCTGCTGGGGTTGAGAGTTGTTGGGGCGAGATTCCCTGCACTGGTGGGAGTTGCTTGATAGGCACAATCTATCGTCCTCCCTCTGAACCTATTGGCTACTGGGATCGCCTTGATGGTCTTCTACACTCAGCTATCACTCCGGACAGGAACGTTATACTGTGCGGTGACTTAAATGTGAATGTGGATCCATCAACGGCTCCAGATCATCAGCTCCATTTCCTGTCTGATCTAACGGCAAGCTACAGTCTCCACCAGGGCGTTCATCAGCGGACACGGTTTGCATCTAATTCCACAGCCACCACATTGGACCTGTTCTTCAATACGTTTGACCAGCACAATGTGGCAACGATCCATCCCGTGGCTTTCAGCGACCATGCAGCGGTCATAAGTGAATTCTACCTTGACCCGACAAGGAGTCCCGAGACATCAATGTTGTGCCGGAACTACCGAAGGATAAATCATGAAAGCTTCAAAGCTGACTTGATTCAGCAGAATTTTTGCAGCATCGAAGGCAGCCCAACAGACATGTGGACGGAGTGGAATAATCGCTTCCTGCAGGTGCTTGACACTCATGCCCCTCTTAGATCTTGTAAGCAGCACAAGCGACAATCGGTACCGTGGATGGACAGCCAGCTCTTGCACCTTTTGAGTAAGCGCAACCGGCTTCATAGAAAGTGGCTGTCAGACAGATCTGAGCAAAGGTACGCCACATTCAAAGCGGCGAGAAGGGAGGCCACTACTTGGAACCGGAAGCTGAAAGAAGCGTACTACAGTACAAAATTTCAGCTTGCGACTTGTGATGTAAAACAAACCTGGCGAATCATCAACCAGTTGACGGGGAAACAAAGAAAATCGGCACCGCTTCAGTGCTCAGCTGAGGCAATTCGAAGTGCTTTCGCCAAGATCGTGGAAGATCCCAGCCGCCCAGTTCATCTTCACCTACCCCAAGGGCCACGAACGGCAACTAGTTTTGTGGAATTTGTTCCTGTATCTATTGCAAAAGTCCGGAAGCTTCTAGAGCAACAGAATCCGACGAAGGCAACTGGCAGTGACGGCATCCCTGCAGCCCTTCTTCGAGCTCATGCAGATGTTCCTGCGCCGTCATTGGCCTTACTGTTCAACAAATCCATGAGGGAGGGACATTTCCCAGCTCCTATGAAGGTGGCCAGCATTTCACCTCTGTTTAAAGGTGGTGATCCCAGCATAGCAAAGAATCACAGACCCGTGTCTCTAATGTCGATAGTTTCAAAGCTTTTGGAACGAGTCATCCATGATCAGCTCACTCAGTACTTGTGCCGACATGATCTATTTCCACCAACTCAGTTCGGCTATCGTTCACATCATTCCACATGTGATGCCCTTGTATTAGCCGTTGAGGGCATATGCCAAGCCCAGACAAGAAAGTACTTCACGGGGATTGCTTTCGTAGATATGTCAAAAGCATTTGATAAGGTGAAGCACCAAACCCTTATTCAGGACCTATTCGAGGTCGGAATTGGTGGAACGGTGCTGCAATGGCTTGCAGACTACCTCTCAGATCGGACACAGTATGTCAAAGTCGGTCAGGTACCGAGCTCACCATACACCAGCTTCTCCGAGTACCACAGGGGTCAGTTCTCGGGCCCCTGTTGTTTATTCTCTACGTCCGTGACATTACGAAAGAGCTGTCCCCTTACAACGTTGCGACCCTGCAATTTGCGGACGATATCTCAATAATATTAGATCCAGCAGCATGAGCACGGATGAGGTGTCCCAAAATCTCTCAAGTGCTGTCCAGCACCTCGCCGATTGGCTTAGGAACCGCGGTCTCATCTTGAATGAAACGAAGACACAGATTATGTCGATATCGCCAGTACGATCTCAAACATTTGACTTGCAAGTGCAATGTAATGGACTGCCTCTGCCAACTGTTCGCTCTGCGAAATATTTAGGTCTCCACTTTGATGCGGACATGAGCTGGGACACCATGGTCGACCACGTCGCACGGGGCGTCGCGTCAAAAGTTGGCGTGCTCAGACGATACGCTACGTTCCTGCCCTTTCAATGTCGCATAGCCTATTTTCGTTCTTTCATTTTATCACACTTTATGTATGCCGCTTCTGCTTACTTACCATTTCTCACGGCGTATCAAAGTCGACGGCTTAATGGGCTCTTCAAGCGTGCTGTACGCACAGTCTGTCGGGTACCTCCCGGGACACCCACAAGCAATATTCTTACACGCATGAACATCCAAACATTGACCACATACACCAACATGCACCTTCTGGTTTTTATCTGGCGTTGTCTCCATGACTCCTCTAACATCAGCATGTTGTTCGCTAACTTTTTCAGCCGCAGTAATTCCACTCAAACTCGTGGTGGGCACAGCAATTTACTGATTGTCCCAGCCAGCCCAACTGCATATCTTGCCAAGCGTGTTACCTATGCTGGGACCATCTTATGGAACCAGCTCCCCGCTGCGGTCAGGCAAGAAAGAAAACGCAATCGCTTTAAGTCAATGGCTCTTGCCTTTTTGCTTACCAGATAAATAAGCCTTTTTACAAATACTGTATGCACTGCTCTTTACGTAATTTTCTCCCTATGCAAGTCGCAACTCCTGTTTTGAGTTGTTTTTCTTCTCTCTTTTTCTTTCCCTACTAGTTGCTGTTACACTCACTGATCCGTATGCACAGATATACAGCATTCCCTCACTAGTGGGACCATTGTTATTAGGCTAGGGCCTGTTTTGGACTTCCCACTCTAAATAAAGAATACAAACAAAAACAAACAACGTTATTCATTGACTGAGCGTTCTTTGCTTTGTACTACACCCTGCTATCATGTTATGCTATTTCCTACAATAGTTTACTGTTTCCATTCGCTTCCATGTAATTGGACGACACCGCCCGTTTGGTTCTGCGAATTCAAATAAAAATGTACCTACCTAGATCTACGCTGATGAAGCAGCCAGCGCGCTGAAGGGTACTCAGGGCCAGGCCCAGGGGGCACTGGATGACACAGTGGGTGCAAATTCAGAACCAACAGTGAGTACAAGCCAGTCAGCAAGAAGTACAGCTTCAGCACCTGAAACTGGGACACCTCAAGTTTCTTCACCTAGTCAGGAATCAGCCAAGCCAGACCAGCTTAACAAGGAGCTGGTAACTGCTCACTGCCCTCCAGATGACAAGGGAGGCTTTATGGTGGGCAGGGGACGGAAAACCTTCAGAGTGCCAAAAAAACTTGTTGACTTTTCAGGAAATGAGCTACTGACCGACTCGGACTTGGAACAGGAGGACATGGGTAACAACGAGAGCAACGACCAGCATATGACAGTTGGCGAACTCACCATATCGTATTAGATCATGACCAGTGTAGCTTTCTTAAATGTCTGTAGCCTTAGGAGAAAAATAGCAGAAATTGAAGACTTTATCTCAACCCGTGGAGTACACATCCTAGGCGTTGCGGAAACTTGGCTGTCAGCCGATGTAACAGACGGAGAAGTAAACATTCCTCATTTCAGTGTGTTCCGCAAAGATCGGGAAGGCAGGCAAGGAGGCGGTGTTGCCTTCTACTGTCATACGTCCTTGCAAGCCCGTCGAAGACGTGACCTCGAGTGTAAGCTGGAGATGCTGTGGCTGGAGATTCTAGCCCCAGGTCGACCAGGCAAAGAGACGGTCTTACTGGGCTGCTGCTATCGACCACCTAGTGAATCTGCAGGCTACTGGGATGGGCTGGAGTCAAACCTAGAGACTGCCTGCAGTGGACCGCAGACCACAACTGTGGTAGTAGGAGACTTCAACGTAAACTTTAATGATGCCCATGCTGTGACTCCTTTGCATCATGTACTCAACCAGTTTAACCTTCGCAACCACGTCACATCTCCTACCCGAGTGACCAGCAGTACTGCCACACTACTGGATCTATTCTTGTCTACCACCCCGATCCAGGGTGTTTGCGAGACTATACATTTGGATATCAGTGACAACTCTGCAATACTTGCCAGGCTGCCAATTTCAGCAAGTCACCACTTGAAGGGACAGCATCTGCGCAAGACTCGCTGTTTGCACAAAGTGGATTGGAATATGTTTACATGTGACCTGGAGAAGACGCTTACTACCTGTGTCTCTGTCTGTGTGGATGTGCTTGTGTCGTCACTCACTGCGGGAATCCAGACCACTCTAGACAAACATGCTCCACTTCGGGAACGGCGCCGCAAATCTCGACGTCCTTGTCCCTGGATTACAGATGAGTTAGTGGCAAGTGTTCGTGAACGGAACCGGGCGCATCGTCTCTGGCTCCGAGACAAAACCGATCAGAACCTTCAAGAAGCACACCGATCAGCTCGCTCCAAAGCACGGAAGTTGGACAGAAGTTTGCGCAACTTGTACTTCACTAAGAGATGTGATACATCAGATCAACGGCAACTTTGGGCTGTCATGAACGATGTCACAGGCCGACAGAAGACAGGGAAAGAACCTGAAGCGCAGCTTGAGTCACTCAGTAAATTGTTTGGAGACATTGTGCATGACCCTATGCGGCCACCTGAGCTGCATGTACCACATGGTCCAGCCTCCGCATCTAGCTTCTCAACATTTCAGCCGGTAAGCATGTCTGATGTTGCACAATGCTTGCAAACTGTGAGTCCTCACAAAGCATCTGGGAGTGACAACATTCCTGGAATTGTACTGCAGCAGTGTTCAGACGTCCTGGCACCTCCATTTACCACCCTAGTCAATGCATCCTTGACATCAGGTACTGTGCCAGTGTGTTTTAAAACATCACACATTATTCCACTGTTCAAGAGTGGCGATGCAACATCCCCTACTAACTATACCAGTGTCATTGCTCCCTATTCTGTCCCGGATTTTGGAGTTCTTTGTAAAGAAGCAACTCACAGCAAACCTCACGCAACATAGCATATTACCTAGCAGTCAGTTTGCCTACAGGAAAATGCACTCTACCGAAGATGCATTAGTTCTAGCCGCCAACCGTTGGCTGTTGGCCAAACAAGAGCGAAAATACACAGGTATTGTGATGGTTGACATGTCAAAAGCGTTTGACCGTGTCCAACATCAACGTTTGATTGATAAACTATTCATGGCAGAGTATTGTTATGGTTGGCTAGTTATCTGTCTGGTCGTACTCAGCGTGTCAAGGTGTGTGAGGCTCTCTCTGATGCAGTCCCATGCTCAAGAGGTGTGCCCCAAGGCAGTGTTCTGCCTTGGGGCACATACTTGAACATACTTCAGGCCAGGTTGTACACAAATACGCTTCACGTCTACGATCATGTTGCCGCCAAGTCGTGGCATCCCCCTCCGGAGGTCGGGGTCGACGTTTTGGTCAAGTTCATGCCGTTGCCATGCAACTTGGCCGCATGGCCGCATGGACGCTGGTTTTGGTCGCAGTGTGAGCGCGCCCTAACTCCACTCCTCTCCAGCCTGATCGCCCGTTTTCCGTTTTCGTGTAAACGGTTCAAAACGATTTGCCGTTCTCGTGTAAACGGTTTGAAAACGTTTCGAAGCCAGCCCGTTTTCGTTCCGTTTCGTTTCGTTTCATTTCGTCTCCTGAAGGCCCTATTTGAATATTGCGGCCAGCTAGCAGCTAGCTGTATGTGGCCAGCTGTGTTTGATGGTACGGGACGGGACAGATACGGGATAGCGCCAGGCGTGACACAAACAAACACCAAACGAGAGAGCTTGGAAGCTCAGGGCCCTGCGCTATGCTTTGTTGCCTAGCTCATCGTGCATGTTGTTAGAACTGATGGAAATGCTTTTTTCCTTTGATTAGCTACATCATTGTATTGCAAAACGTTTCAACGAGTTACTGAAGTAACGTCTTCTGCATAGCTAGCTATGGGACCGACGCTGACTCTGCCGATCACGGGCGTTCTGGAGTCGACGGGATGTCTGTCCTGACGTTTCCTGGGACCGGCGCTGACTCTGCCGATCACGGGCGTTCTTCTTCTTCTTCTTCTTCTTCTTCTTCTTCTTCTTCTTCTTCTTCTTCTTCTTCTTCTTCTTCTTCTTCTTCTTCTTCTTCTTCTTCTTCTTCTTCTTCTTCTTCTTCTTCTTCTTCTTCTTCTTCTTCTTCTTCTTCTTCTTCTTCTTCTTCTTCTTCTTCTTCTTCTTCTTCTTCTTCTTCTTCTTCTTCTTCTTCTTCTTCTTCTTCTTCTTCTTCTTCTTCTTCTTCTTCTTCTTCTTCTTCTTCTTCTTCTTCTTCTTCTTCTTCTTCTTCTTCTTCTTCTTCTTCTTCTTCTTCTTCTTCTTCTTCTTCTTCTTCTTCTTCTTCTTCTTCTTCTTCTTCTTCTTCTTCTTCTTCTTCTTCTTCTTCTTCTTCTTCTTCTTCTTCTTCTTCTTCTTCTTCTTCTTCTTCTTCTTCTTCTTCTTCTTCTTCTTCTTCTTCTTCTTCTTCTTCTTCTTCTTCTTCTTCTTCTTCTTCTTCTTCTTCTTCTTCTTCTTCTTCTTCTTCTTCTTCTTCTTCTTCTTCTTCTTCTTCTTCTTCTTCTTCTTCTTCTTCTTCTTCTTCTTCTTCTTCTTCTTCTTCTTCTTCTTCTTCTTCTTCTTCTTATTATTATTATTATTATTATTATATATTGGGAATAGAGTCAGACACAACAACGACCGAAATCAGTACACCAAAAATCTGTCCTACAAAAAACAAAGGAACAAGAAAAACAAGAAAGACGAAGTACAAAGAATCCTCAAAAAAGAGGGGAGAACGGGATATTATTATTATTATTATTATTATTATTATTATTATTATTTGTGTGGATTCACAGGAAGTGTGAGTTACGAAGTCTGAAGAAAACATTGAACGGTCTCTGCTTGGATGACGACTACACCATAGCTCAGTGGTTAGAGCATCGCTGGCTACAAGCGAGGGTCCCTGGTTCGAGTCCTGGTGGTGACAGTCAATTTTTTCTTCAGACTTTTCCCGTTTGTCTCTTTCCCTCAAACCAGTTAGTATTATTATTATTATTATTATTAATATTATTATTACTAGCAGCACCCCCGGCCAGCGTTGCCTGGCCGAATGTGGCATGCGGGTGAAGCAAGTACATGAACAGCACACGTGCTCAGCACGTGGTGGTGGCCAGACCGCTGAAGTCCTGGTGAGGGAGGTTCTTCATCGTTGGAAGGAGAAGGAGGGACGTCTGTTACGCCTTCGGGAGGCTGGTCAGGGTTGTCCATCACCTGGTGGCGGATGAAGCGGCTCAAAAAATTCATAAAATTACGAACAAAAGTGCGATGCGCTCTTCACTGCAGATCAGATGCAGAGTGCAGTCAGTGCAGATCTTTTGTATCCTTTTGTTGCAGATGTTTCTATTTGCAGAGAACAGTTCACGTGGTCCGCAGCGCTTGTGCGGCTGCTAGTATAGTACAGTGCTACCTATGACTATGTCCTATGGCCTTTGTAGGCTAGGTGGCTACATGATTCGCACGCAGCGTGCTCAGTGCTTCTGCGCGCGGCTGCCACTGCTACTCGTACTGATCGTGTCTGCTACCAGTACCACCTACACTGTTCGTACGCTTTGCGTGCTCAGCACGTGGTGGTGGCTACACGATTCGCACGCTTCGCGTGCTCAGTGCTTCTGTGGCTGCTTCCGCTAGCTACACGATTCGCACCCTTCGCGTGCTCAGTGCTTCTGTTCGCACGCTTCGCGTGCTAGCTCAGGCTGCAGGGCAGCGTTGCTCCGCAGCGCTTCACTCAGCGTGACACAAAAACACACGTCACAGGTGCCTCTTCTTTATAAGGAGCGTGACACACACACACACACAGACACACGTCACAGGTGCCTCTTAATAGTCTTATAACTTACTAGCAGCACCCCCGGCCAGCGTTGCCTGGCCGAATGTGGCATGCGGGTGAAGCAAGTACATGAACAGCACACGTGCTCAGCACGTGGTGGTGGCCAGACCGCTGAAGTCCTGGTGAGGGAGGTTCTTCATCGTTGGAAGGAGAAGGAGGGACGTTTGTTACGCCTTCGGGAGGCTGGTCAGGGTTGTCCATCACCTGGTGGCGGATGAAGCGGCTCAAAAAATTCATAAACTTACGAACAAAAGTGCGATGCGCTCTTCACTGCAGATCAGATGCAGAGTGCAGTCAGTGCAGATCTTTTGTATCCTTTTGTTGCAGATGTTTCTATTTGCAGAGAACGGTTCACGTGGTCCGCAGCGCTTGTGCGGCTGCTAGTGCTAGTGCTACCTATGGCCTAGGCTAGGTGGCTACATGATTCGCACGCTTCGCGTGCTCAGTGCTTCTGCGCGCGGCTGCTACTGCTACTCGTACTACATGTACTAGTACTACTAATCGTGTCTGCTATAAGCGCGCGCTACCACCTAAGCTACACTGTTCGCACGCTTCGCGTGCTCAGCACGTGGTGGTGGCTACACGATTCGCACGCTTCGCGTGCTCAGTGCTTCTGTGGCTAGGCTGCTTCCGCTAGCTACACGATTCGCACGCTTCGCGTGCTCCGTGCTTCTGCGGCCGCTAGCTACACTGTGCTATACACTGTTCGCACGCTTCGCGTGCTCAGGGTAGCGTGACACAAAAACACACGTCACAGGTGCCTCTTCTTTATAAGGAGCGTGACACACACACACACACAGACACACGTCACAGGTGCCTCTTCTTTATAAGTAAAGATATCCATATAAAAATCGCTCTGTGAGCGGTTCTGAAAAACCTTTACTGGTACTGCCCCGTCGTAAAAGTAAGAAATTAGAACTGGCCCATTGTCCCCCCAAATGCGAACTGATCCACCTAAATCGCGAATGACGGGACCCGAACGCACCAGTAGCACGAGGTCGGGAGGGCACAGGATCACGGCAATTATCATAGGGTAACACCAGTAGTAGCAGTAGAATTTATTATTTTGATAGGGAAGCCTTCCGCTAGTACAGTACATGGCCTATGGTCCGGACCAACGTCCCCATCTGCATCCACAGGTAGGAACCTCGTGCTACTGGTGCGTTCGGGTCCCGTCATTCGCGATTTAGGTGGATCAGTTCGCATTTGGGGGGACAATGGGCCAGTTCTAATTTCTTACTTTTACGACGGGGCAGTACCAGTAAAGGTTTTTCAGAACCGCTCACAGAGCGATTTTTATATGGATAATTTCAGCTCTTTTTCCGTTCCCTCCCCACCCCAACTACACAACCATGTGTATGCACACGGCACACACACGTGGCCACGCACACATACGCACATGCACACGACAGAAACAGGAAATTCTTCATGTGTAATGCCATGCAAAGCAGTGGCCACCGTACTTGAGGAAGTCAGTTGTGAAACAAAAATAATTCAACTACAGCGTGTAGACAAGCTGACGGCCAAAGCACAACATAGCAAACATGACATTTGCCCAAGGATTGTAGTTTGCAGACCATGCCATGGAAGCAGCGAATTCAGAATGTAATATCATACAAAGTGACAAGCAAGGACGTGGCCATCATACACCAGAAACTTGCAGAAAGTCACATATCCAACAGATAGAGAAGTGAACAGCAATCTGATACAGCCCACACAGGACAAAGCGGACCTGATACTCGTCCCAGGATCGCAAGTGGCAAACCCTTTTCAATGCATAACATGCAGGTGTACGTTAGACGCATGAACATCTGACAGTGTCGCCAGCATACGATAGGCACATTGCCTTTGGGTCATTTCATAATAATAATAATAATAATAATACAATGTCATCACATGTTTACCCCACAAGTTACACACATGCACAGTAGAAGCACAATGAAAGCAATGGAAAAGTACGATGTGGTTGCTGAAGCATCTTCACACTTCAAATTCAGACTTCAATGTGGTCGTCACGGGATGATATACCTGCAAGATACAAGTGATGAAGAAAGAAAGCAGAAGGTCGTGAGGTAGGCTATGAGACACCACAAACGGTTCACCTACATGTCTATTCAGGGCTAGTGCACTCACACGCAGAATTGTCATAATCGAGCATTTCCCAAACTGAGAAGTGCAATGAAATCCACTTGCATGCACAGGAGCAATTTTGCAATATTATGATACGCAATTCGACACGATCTGCGATGCTGCGTGCGATGTGCCCTGCTGTCATGATAGTGACAGTCACCGCCATATGTTTTGTCAACGTCGCCCGTGCACTCTTCTGTCAAGTCCAAAGTGCTCACATACTTGGCAATGTTTTTGCAGTGATTAACTTTTATCCTAGTTATGTCAGGGGTAACTTTAATGAAGTACCCGCAGGCCGTGTCGATCTGCACATCGTCCACTCTCTCATGTACTTGGCCTGCTTTGTCTGTGTATCCATTTCATGTGCCATCCACAAAATCGACTAGACAGTGGGTGCAATACGCTCTCTACCTGAAGACGTTCTTCTGGCGACATCTCGCCATGTACTTGGCCTGGCTTTGTCTGTGTATCCATTTCATGTTCGATCAACAAAATCTCAATGCACTACAGAGACTAGACGGTGCAATACGCTCTCTATCTGAAGACGTGAACCATTAAATTTTTTGGAAAAGTTATAAGTACACCTGAAACGAAAAGAAGTACAGGAATAGAGAGAGAGTGACTACAATACGCTCTCGACCTGATATAGTGATAACGTGAGTACAAGACACTCTCCACCTGATAACGTGTTAGAAGGTAACATGTCTACAGTCCCACCGTACCCTTCCGACACGACTGTAGACCATTAGCTTTTTTTGAGAAGTTATACGTACACCTTAAACGTAATGAAGTACAGGAATAGAGAGAGTGACTACAAGACACTCTCCACCTGATAACGTGTTAGTAGAAGGTAACGTAATACAGGTCTACAGTCCCACCGTACCCTTCATCATTCCTCATTCACCATCGCGCGATACCCTGGCACACACTGGCAACATATCAATGGGGTGCCTTACCGTCGTCTAGAGGAGACGTCTCCGCAGCAATATTTTCCCTCCTGCGCATTCAGTCGCCGACGCGACAGCGTTCACGGGGCCGTTCCAGCTGCGGAAGACATTCGATTCATCGGGCCAATTCAGCAACAGGGCCGTGGACACACAGGGGGCAGAAGAGAGACATTGTTAGTGGACAAGAAATATGCAGTGGCAAGTGGCGAGTGCCGCATGGATGTCAAGTTGTCATGCACAATTCAGCTATTACTTACGGTCCAGCTAGTCCTGCCATTGCTCGCTCGTCCTGGTTCCTCCTCGTTCGTCTTCCTGCACGTCTGCACTTCTCCTTCCCCACCGTTGGCTTTGCGGTACGGGGGTGCCGGAAGGAATTCCCACCATGTATCCATGTACATGAAGTCCCACCATGACTCTCCATGTACATGTCCACGGCTACGTCAGTAGTTTGTATAGTACCGGAAGGAGTTCCCACGATGTCTCCAAAGGCCTAGAGCGGACGTCTTTGCAGCAATTCTTTTCGCCCTGCGCATTCAGTTCGCCGACGATGTCTCCAAAGGCAAAGGCCTAGGCTAGAGCCTAGTAGAGGGGACGTCTTTCTTTGCCCGCTGCTACCACTAGATATGGCATGTTCTCCATTTCTTTCCTTGGCGCTGATAGGTGGAATTCTCTGCCTGTCTCGTGTCGTCAGGTTGAGCATCTATCCGTTTTTGTTTCGCTCTGTAAAGAGCACTTAGGGTTCCCTGTAACAAGACGGCAACGTCTGTAGGGCCTTCCCTATCAAAATAATAAATTCTACTACTACTACTACTACTACGTCTTTGCAGCAATTCTTTTCACCCTAGTACCCTGCACATTCACTCCGCCGACACGACAGCGTTTACGGGGCCGTTCCAGGTGCAAAAGGTCCACGTCAGCAGTTCTCAACTATTTCGCGTACGGGATAGTCGCCGCGACAGCGTTTAAGGGGTCGTTCCAGGTGCAAAAGGTATCCATCAATGGCACTTTGCAGTATGGGGTACGGAAAAGGGACCTCCTCGTTCGACTTCGTCGAATTCTGCAGTTCTCCTTCCCGTCAGGGGTACCGAAAGGGGCCTCCTCGCAGTTGTCCTTGCCGTCAGGTCCACGTCATGCAATTCTCAACTATTTCGCGTACGGGATAGTCGTCTTTGTCGTACGCGACATCGGCGTTTACCGGGTGGCATTGGCACAAAGCAGACCGTTGACGGGGTCACGTGTCAAAAAAGTATCAACAACGTGTCGACTACGTGTCGACCACGTGTATAGCGGTACACTCAGCGGTACACTAATTCTCGTGCCATTCTCGTGTCACAAAACTGGAACATCGAGTACCAGTATGGAAAGGCTTCAGACAGGAAGCCTTTCCAATTAAGAGGCACCTGTGACGTGTGTCTGTGTGTGTGTGTGTGTGTCACGCTCCTTATAAAGAAGAGGCACCTGTGACGTGTGTTTTTGTGTCACGCTGAGTGAAGCGCTGCGGAGCAGCGCTGCCCTGAGCTAGCACACGTCACAGGTGCCTCTTCTTTATAAGGAGCGTGACACACACACACACACAGACACACGTCACAGGTGCCTCTTCTTTATAAGTAAAGATAAGTAAAGAAGATACTGACGGCAACTAACATCCATTCTGATTGCATTTAATCGTCTCCCTACTTCGTACTGGAAGTATTTCTTTCCAGAAAATCTCCCCATACAGCAGGGAGTCGTTTACATAATATGACTCCCTGCTATACATCTACATAATAATAACTAATAAAAACTTTATTAGGATGACCCAAAGGCTGACCGCCTATCGTGGGGTCCGTCGCATTGAAGGATGATGGTACAAGAGAGTACAGATCTGTATATACGTTATAATTATTTTATCATATCAAGAGTCCATAACCCAAGAGTAGGCCTTGGCGGATAATGCCGGCAGAAAAATTGGCAGAATTCGGTACTTTTTCTGGTAAGTTTCATGCATGTTTGGTATGTGGATAAAGAAATGGAGCAGAATTCGAGGAATTGCCCGCCATAAGGTTTGTATGGTTCTGCCAATTTCGGTGCAAAAAAAGCAGAATCTGCCACCTTTTCGAGCATTATCCGCCAAGGCCTACCCAAGAGTATGCAACTGTGATCTCTTTTCTATGGACTGTTGTGAAATTGTACATCGTAGAGTGCGGTTGCATTTTTTGAGCTGTGAACATGCCGTTGATCGACTATTCATATCCAAACGATAGCTACAAGCAAGGATCGGTAACCCCAAAGCAGGCCTTTGGGAAGCCATGCTTTGATCTCTACGTTGAGGAGGACGACACAGACTCTCGGTCTGCTGGTGACTCTACTGGAGAGGCGAACGTGTGTTCTGCGGGCAGAACCACACACCCTACGGAATGCGGTCGAGATGCAGGCAGCAAGTCGCCGGTAAGTGACTTAGAGGTTATCTCGCCTCCCGAAGACTCCATATTAGATGTCAATGGCCTGATCGAAAGCATCAAGACCGAAATAGTTGGGACAGTCAAGGCTGAATTGGCCGCCCTTCAGGAAGTTTTTTCAGGGATCTCCTCGGCAATCGTCAACATGCAAGGGGAACTCTCCATGATTAGAAAAGAGCAAGCTGACCTTGCACACACGCATACGCCTATTAGTACGGTGCAATCAGATTCCCGTATATCTGCGCTGGAGGACAAGTGTAAGGAACAGGAAGCGCGCCTCAAGTCAGTAGAGCATATGCAACACATGTACACTGAACCGACCCCACTCAAAAAGGCTGGCGATACCGTATCCAAGCCGGGTGCACGTGGGCTGCAAATGCAGCAAGCCAACCAAGGGCGCCTCAAGTCAGTAGAGCATGTACAACACACTGCACCGACCCCATTCAAAAAGGCGGGCGATACCGTATCCAAGCCGGGTGCACATGGGCTGCAAATGCAGCAAGCCAACCACATGGATACCACTACAAGTTGTAGCACTTGCAGATCCACGACCCAGCAGCGCGTATGGGCATCAGTGCTCAATAGCTCCAGTGACAACGGAGCACTTCGGCCCTCCTCCAAGCCATCGGTCACTGCGCAGCCACCTCTCCCACAGGAGCACCGCCAGCAAACTAACCAGCACCAACGACCCCAACAGCGACAACAACAACAACAACAACAACAACAACAACAGCGCCAGAAGCAGCAGCAGCAGCAACAACAGCACCACCAACACCACCAACACCAGCAACACGACGAACAATGGACTACAGTTACCAGCCGCAAACTGAGAGGTTCTCTTGGCTCCCTGCGGAAAGTATACTTTGTTGGCAATATTGATGGCAGTTGCGACGCAGACTCCATAACGTCCCACTGTGTCCAGAATGGCATCACACCCACAGCTTGCCGCACCTTTCCTTCTCGCAAGCATGTAGGCACAAAAGCTGCAAGGCTTACAGTCCGTGAAGACCAATGTGCAGCCATCGAGGCAGATGGGTTTTGGCCAGCGCCCATTCAGGTTCGGCCATGGGACTTCAGCGAGGCAAATAGGCCCACAGCCACCAACTAATCGACCGTGTTCCCACTCAATCCCCATGCACCAGTCTTCTTACCTCGCATCTATCGTGCCCAACCCTGCTCAACAGCAGCCACGACCTTGTTCCCACTCAACCCCCATGCACCAGTCTTCATACCTTGCACCTATCGTGCCCAACCCCGCTCAACACCAGCCACGACCGTGTTCCCACTCAATCCCCATGCACCAGTTTTCATGCCTCGCACCTATCGTGCCCAACCCCACTCAACGTGTGTAAGAGAACAACCTCCACCTGATACCACACCAGTAAACGCATCCCCCCACAACAATAACAATAATTCTTGCATTCGGATATGTACCCTGAACTGTCGTAGTATGAAACATAAATTGGCTGATATTACAGACCTCCTTGACCACCATAAAGTAGACATTTTGTGTATAACGGAAACGTGGCTAAATTCGTGTATCCCAGACGAGATCATTAAGATACCGGGTTACGACCTGTTCCGTCGTGACCGGTCCCAGTGCAGCACTACATGGAGCGACTTGGGTGGTGGTGGGGTAGCAGTCTTCTCTTCGTCCGCCCTTTGTGCTATGCGCCGCCGGGATCTAGAGTGCAACAATTCAGAGATGATAACTGTCGAAACAGGAGCTACAATCATTTCCTGTATGTACCGTCCTCCAAGACACGATAGTCTTGCATTCTGCAACTCATTCAGTCCTCTTCACCCCCTCGTTGACAACCGTCCAGTAATTGTCGTGGGAGACTTTAACTCCAAGAACAATGAGTGGAACAACGCAGACCCTACGAACACTGCAGGTAGACACATGCAGTCCGCCTTTGACGACTATGGCTTCACTATGGTCTCCAAGAACCATGGAACGAGGCCAACTAAAGATTCTAATCCGTCCCTAGACCTGATTTTAACTAATATGCCCCATCTTGTCACTTCATGTTACACATCCATGCCCATTGCAGACCACTGTCCTCTATTTTGCGCATATTCTCCACCAGAGAAACGCCACTCTAGAAGTACTGTCAACGCAGCCGCAGTCTCCAGAAAGGTTGACATGCACCTCCTCAGGCAGAAACTGAGCACACTACCATTGACCGAATGCATGCAGGGCACCAACGTGCACATCAGTTTCAGATGCATGGCCTACTCTGCACTGCTGGACCAGGCAATTCAGGCAGCAACGACCATCACACGCCGGAAAAACACCCAGTCGAACCAACCATGGTTCACAAAAAAACTTAAGACGCAACGTCAGCGAACTAACCGCCTCTATGTGCTCCACCGAAAGGAGCCACTCAACGATTCCTTACGAGCTGCATACAAACTCTCGCGCAACCTGTACCACCGGTCATTAAGAGCCGCCAAGGACACATACTTGTCAACGCTCGGATACACAATGCTTGGCAAGGAAAGAAAGGGTGGCTATGCGTGGTGGAAACGTGCCAAAGCAATATGCAATATTGACCAAACAAATAAAAAGGCAATTCCAGACCTGCAGAACGGCAATGAAATTCACAAAACAGATCAAGCGAAGGCCGAAACGCTGTGTACCTTCTTTGCCCGCCAATGCACCACTCAGCCAACGCCGCCGAATACTGTAGCAACTAGTATAACAATCAATGAAGCCGACGTCGATGGAAACAAATTTGGATTCGGAAACATACGCCCTGTTGAAGTCTTCGATGCAGCAAAGAGGCTGCAACAACATAAATCATCATCAGACATCAACCTGACAAACCGTATACTAAAGCAATTCGCAGATATCCTTTCCCAATCACTATCAGTATTGTTCAACTACAGCCTTGATGATGGTGTGTCCCCGTCCTCCTGGAAATCATCCACTGTAATACCGGTGTACAAGAATAGAGGTTGCGCCAAAGAGCCTACCAATTACAGACCTATATCCCTTCTCCCATGCATAGCGAAACTAATGGAAAAGATTCTCTCGGAACGTCTACTTCGATACTTGATGACCCAGGGTGTAATTTGTAAAGGTCAATTCGCATATGTACGCAACAAGTCTGTAACGGACCAACTTATCTTGCTAACCCAATCAATGGCTGTAAATATTGATAATGGCACTAATTTTGACCTGATATCTCTAGATTTCAGGAAAGCTTTCGACCGGGTCGACCACTCTATACTCCTAAAGAAATTCGGTAAGATTGCTACAGCTTCGTCAGTAAAATGGCTGAAGAGCTTCTTAGGGGATCGACAAATTGAAGTGAAGGTACATAGCACTAAATCGAAGAAGCGGAGCATCAACTGCGGAGTGCCTCAAGGTTCCCACCTTTCACCACTCCTATTCCTACTCTATATAAATGACCTGCCCAACGCTATGCAACATTGCACGCAATATCTATTTGCAGATGATGTCACCCTCCTACTGGCTTACAAACCTGAAGACACCCTCGCCAGTAGAGCGAACATGCAGTCTGATCTCGATGCATGTCAAACATGGGGCAGGAACAATGGAGGTGAATTCTCAGCAAGCAAGACATCCGTGCTGTGCCATAGAGCTATCAATGATACACCTACTGCAGGAATCCAATACCAAATGTACAATGAACCATTAACGGTGGTTTCTGAACTGCAACATCTTGGCATCACCTTGACCGACAACCTGGATTTCCGCAAACATGTCGCCTCAATAACTTCGAAGTTCAGATATCGAGTGCACCTACTGTCAATTATGTCCCAGCAACTTACGCCTTCGGCAATGATCATACTGTACAAAGGGTTCGTAAGACCTGTGATCGAATATAGCTGTACGGTGTGGTCGTTTGGATCTAATAAGAAACCCATGACCACTCTTGATCAATTACAGGCAAGGTTTGCTAGAGCTCTACTGAAAAAGAAAAAAATTGCATTTGATTACACTTCTTCCAAATCTGTCTTAAATTCTAAATGCTCCCTAGAGTCACTAGCCTATCGTCGTCAAATCATCAGTCTCACTACTTTTCACAGATATGTTTTCCATCATCGTGATTACCTTGCTGATTTCCATTTCAAGATTACGAATAGTGAGCGACGACCAAATAAAATCATTCTTCCCAAATTTAAATCATTGTCTAAGTCTCTCTTCATGTTCCGAACTGCTATTCTATGGAACTGTTTACCCCCCAGTCTAACATCGGAAGCCTCGCTCTATAAGTTCAAAGCTGCCCTCAGGAAATTTACAGCTGACTATGCTTATGCAATCAACGGAATTCCGCCACCTTGCAGTTGATTTTCCCCATTTCTCTCCTCATCAATCCCTACTTCTCTTTGTACATACATCTACATCTACTGTTCTTTCAATCAAATGAACCCCTCGATAGGCACATTGCCTTTGGGTCATTTCATAATAATAATAATAATAATAATTTGTTATTATGCTATCGGCCTACATGCGATTCTCGGGCTGGTCGACAGGCGGCCCAGCCAGCCTGCTAGTGGGATCTCGGCCTCGCACACAAATCCACACAAAATGTTACTGCACTGAATGCATTCCCCCTATACACTTCGCATATATACTCATTCTCTTGATGGTACCGTACTCTTGATGGTACGGGACAGGTACGGGATAGCGCCAGGCATGTCGATGGCACAAACAAACAAAAGTTTTTCGTCGTAAAAAAACAACAACAAAAAAAACACAAACAAACAAAAATATTGTGGCCAGCTGTCTTTGCTGGTACGGTACAGTACGGGATAGCGCCAGGCGTGACACAAACAAACAAACAAACAAACAAACAAACAAACAAACAAACAAACACCAAATTAAAGCTGTGTGGACCCTGGCTAGCGCCAGACGTTACTGAAGTAACGTCTTCTGCATAGCTACGGGAATTAAAGCTGTGTGGACCCTGGCTAGCGCCAGACGTTACTGAAGTAACGTCTTCTGCATAGGTACGGGAATAAAGTTTTGGCAATGACTATAGTAACTATTGCTTACCTCTCTCTCGGGGTTGGGTTTGTAGTCAGCCTTGGACCCGTAGGCAGGTTTCTTCCACTATGACTGGCTGTCTCCACTGCCTCCGTACCTGTAGGATCTTTGTAATCGGCTACTGCTTTCGAATGAAGAAGAAAGACAAACGAGGGACAGCCAGAGAAACAGCCGGTTTTATTGGCTTGTAGCGGAGGCTCGAACTGTATCGATGGCAATCCGCCCCGGGCAGCCATGCAGCCGCTGCTCACTGCTCACTCCCTGTACCGTGTCAGCGAGACAGCCTGGCAGAAAATATTGATCACCATCTGGCGGTGCATCCACGCTCGCACCAGCCCTGTGCTCGCGGGAAAAACGTCCATATTAGGTAGACAGTGCAGCATGTAATGGTCAACTGCTGAGTTTGATACGGTTTCTGGTATCTTGGCCGTAGACTACTACCAAGAGTACATAACCCCCCCCCCCCAGAGTGTGCAACGCCTGATCCAGCTCTGCATAGGGTCTTGGTCGAGCGGAATCGGATCTTTGCGTCATAATACCGTACACATCTGAGGGGAACCCGGGGAGTCGCGGGTACTCTTGGATCAAAAACAATGGTGCCCTGCCTCGAGACCGGCCTTGCGCTGGTGTGAAGTGTACGCATGACATCAGAAGATCCGATTCCGCTCGACCAAGACCCTACACAGAGCTGGATCGGCGTTGCACACTCTGGGGGGTTATGTACTCTTGCTACTACCAAGAGTAAGGTTATGTACTCTTGCTACTACCAAGAGTACATAACCCCCCCCCCCCCCAGAGTGTGCACCGCCTAATCCAGCTCAGCTGCTGTGCATAGGGTCTTGGTCGAGCGGAATCGGATCTTTGCGTCATACCGTACACATCTGGGGGAAACCCGGGTAGTCGCGGGTACAGTACTCTTGGCCCAAAAACAATGGTGCCCTGCCTCGAGACCGGCCTTGCGCTGGTGTGCACATGTGGAGTGTACGCATGACATTATTATTATTATTATTATTATTATTAAACTCAATCTCGTAGCATGTGCACGCATTGCTAATGTGGGGAGCAACCCCAGAGATGAGGGCGATAAC